TTCACATCTTTCCATTTTCTTGTTCTCATGAGATTTCTACTTGAGTCATTGTGTGTGTGTTTTTATATTTCAATTTGATTGTGTAGTTTTGTTAGTTAGTCTGGAAAAAAAAACCATTTCTGCTAACCTCAATATGTAGTACTCTGTATATACCTGTATAATATACTCCGGAGTATATCATATTCCAGTCCCCTTGGCCAAAAATCTGTCTATCATCTTTCAGTCTTAAAGTGATGTAGACATGTAGTATTCCAACTCTAAGTATAATCCCAAAACTTTGTAAGAAAGTAAGAAGGAATGGAGATTTTATGTGCCATTTTCATTTAGTCCATTGTTTACCCACAACTAAAACATTGTCAAAAATTATTTTTAGCTCCCTTTGGAAGCATGATAAAAATTTAAAATAATAATGCCTGACTCCTTTGCAATTAATGATGATAAACATGATATCTCTATGTTCATATGGTGAATTGACCCAATTATTATGGATTGGTGTCAACCAATGTTGTATTGTCGTCTATACACTTAAATTGTCTTTGTTCCAAAAATGTTTTTTTAGTGTTAACAATGTTGTTGGATTTCTAGGTGCGTGGTTTTTTGGGGAAACAACAGTTGGAGGAGGCTCTCACGGGCATGGATCTTGTAATCATTCCTGCTGGTGTTCCTAGAAAACCTGGGATGACAAGAGATGACCTTTTTAACATTAATGCTGGAATTGTTAAGACCTTGTGTGAAGGAATAGCTAAGAGCTGCCCAAAAGCTATAGTCAATCTAATTAGTAACCCTGTGAACTCAACGGTTCCAATTGCTGCAGAAGTTTTCAAAAAGGCCGGCACCTATGATCCCAAACGGCTTTTGGGAGTGACAAAGCTTGATGTTGTGAGAGCCAATACATTCGTGGTATATATTTGAACCCTTTTTTATCTGAGTTTCATTTCTCTTTTGGTTAATTTACTCTGTAAAGCTGTGGAATGATTATAACGCTCCCTCTCTCCTTGAATGAAGATCTCATTAAAACTGTGTGGTTGAGATTTATGTAGAGGAAAGAGAAATGATATGAACCACCTAATTTTTCCCTTAAAAATTCGAACTTTATTTTGCGATATCCCAAAAATGGAAGTGGGAAATTAATTTAGGGACAGTGGGAGTGAGTGATATTTCTGGACTAATGAGCTGAAAAGTAGGCTGACATGTAATGTTTGGGTTTCCAGCCAACCATTTATGTTTTCCATTATTGATTTGCATTTAATAGGAATAATAGGAAATTACTAAATTATTCTACATTTCTATATTATATTGTTACCATATTACTTTTCCTACTTAAGTTACTATTCCTACTTTAGTTAGGAATCCCTATGTATTCCCTGTATATACGGATGAAACTTTCATAATTCAATAAGACCAATTAATATCAAATCGTATCATCATTGATCTGCAACCATGATTTTTTTTGTTTGTTTTCAGGCTGAAGTTTTGGGACTTGATCCAAGGGAAGTGGACATTCCAGTTGTAGGTGGTCATGCAGGTGTTACAATTTTACCTCTTTTGTCTCAGGTTTGAAAACATATCTGCAAAGTGCAAAACTGGTAAAATGCATAGTTAATGTGGTATGTTTAACCGTTGATTTTTTAACGGGCCAGGTTAAACCTCCGTGTTCTTTGTCTCCTGAGGAAACTTCATATCTGACCTCACGTATTCAAAATGGAGGCACTGAGGTTGTTGAGGTATTGTGAGCTCCAATACATGTTTCCAAGTTTTAGTTTTAGTATTAAGTTGGTAATCATGGAATGGAAATGACTTAAGAAACTATGTCAACTCCTTGTCATTTCTCAGTAGTCAATCGGTGTGATGGTTCGACTAAACTCAGGTTTTCTTTTTTCTTCCCCCTTATACCCCCAGGCAAAAGCTGGTGCAGGATCTGCAACACTGTCCATGGTTAGCAATCAATTTTTTCTCTCTGGATCCCTTCTTTTTCTGCTTGTGCATGAAGATTTCGCATTGAATAACTACTGAAATCTACCTAAATCTATATACGGCAGGCATATGCTGCTGTCAAATTTGCAGATGCATGCTTACGGGGATTAAGAGGAGACGCTGGAGTTGTTGAATGTGCCTTTGTGGCTTCTCAGGCATGTAAAATATCCCATCACTTTTACACCAATGGCTATCACTTTGGTCACACTATCCTCAATATATGATACTATATGAGTTCTAGCTTCACCTGAGTCTTGCCTATGTGCTACTGGCACTAGGCTCGAATCTACAACTCAGTGCCTTTTATTCCCTCCATTCTATATTAATTGTCTATTACGGAGTCTCTTTCTTGGTACATTGAAAAATGAATGAATGTAGTTATAACATATGTCTACATTCATTTATTTTTTGTAGGTATCAAGAAAGTCATAATGGACGAGAGTGGTTTTTAGACCACTTACTGTACATAATAAGTGGTGTACCTTTTCAGGTGACGGAGCTCCCTTTCTTCGCATCCAAAGTACGGCTTGGGCGCAATGGAATTGAAGAGATCTACTCACTTGGTCCCATGAATGAATATGAAAGGTTACATGCTTGTTTCATTCATTATTCATCAGAATTTCAGTCTTCATTAGATACTCAGCTCATACAGATTGTCATTCTTGCAGGGCTGGGCTGGAAAAGGCAAAAGAAGAGCTAGCAGCAAGTATTCAGAAGGGGATTATGTTTACAAGAAAATGAATAGGCTCTTGGCACATAAGTTTTGTCCAGTGCCTTGTAGTGGTGTGGGACCCATGAGGCTTCTCTCTTTTCACCCAAAAGTAAAAGAAGATTATATATATACTCTTATAGAGGGAAAACAAGTATGCTATTTGGACACAGATAAAGAATGTTGAAATAATAATATGATAATATCATATTCAATTGAGTTGCTGCACTTTCTTATGATTGTTTTGCAGATGAGTTTCTACCCTTCCTTTCCAAAAAGGGAAAAAAACTTTGAAACATTAAAATCGATAATTCCTTTTAAAGTCAATTAAATTTACACCCCGCAATTGATGTGGTTGGAGATGAGCTGAGGTCGGGACTAAGTAGGGGAGTTAATCGGGGAGGTGGGGGTGGGGGTGGGTAAAGGGGTAGGAACTACTAATTTTGTGAACGGAGGACCGTAGGTATTCCAATTAGGTGAGTGGATTCAAATTTGAGTGGCTGTAGAACCCACTCGAATTCAAATTGCCCTTTTTTTATGATTTCAACTAGGAGTGATCTAATGAGTTTAACCCATCTCACATGATAATTGAGAGAGTTTAAGTTTGAGTCATTATAGGGTGAGAATCATGAGAAGTTTAATGTTTGTTTTGTCTCTAAATCAACTTGATACTTTCACTTTATGATATTTCAAAAAAATGTCAAAAAGTAAAAAATATTTTAAAACGAAAAATTGTATGCTTAAGATTTACTCCTGTGGTAATATTGTATTATTGTCCACATATATATCTAAATAGGAAAATGAAGAATTGTATGAATGTGTTTAGGTTTTTAAATGTGGAAAGTATATAGTCTTCATAAGGAGAAGTCAAATATCAAAATATAAAATATTTTAGATAAAATTGAGTTCCAATGAATTAATTTTATTTTGAGGAGTACTCTATATTTGATTTCTCTTTTTATATACGAACAAGATTGTACAACCTCTATTTTTTGTTGTTGTAAAACGTTTACTTCCATAAAAGTTCTCTTCCACTTCTTCCAAAAATGCAAGTAATATCTGATTGATGAATACCCCTGATAGGGGGGGGGGGGGGGTGGGGGTATGAAGCCTATTGGAGATACTCAAATCCTAAGATGGAAGACTAAATAAGCAGCCTACACTTGTTTTCACTTATTATCAATACAAAAATGAGTTCTCTCTAAACTTTTCACTTAACTTGGATAGTAGGTAGCGCTCTCCAAACTCATACTCCCTCCGTCCCATATAAAACTTCCCATTTGGAATAGTGCCCCAAAATAAGGAGGGGATATTTTGGCTTTGACTTGCCCAAAATACCCCCCAAATCTCTCCCCTCCCAAACACTCCCCACAAAAAAGCACTCCGATGCCCGATCTATCCATGGCTTCCATGACAATCACACCCACATATTTTGGAGGCTCAGCTGCCGTCCCCAAGGGCCCCGGCGCCCTCCGCCGCGGGGTCGTCCCAGTCAAGGCATCAAAGGAGGCAAAGAAGAGTGTGGATGATCTTCAACAAATCCGTTTCAGAGGAGTCATCAACGCCGCCGCCGCCGCCGAAGAGATCGGAAAAGGGAGGAGGGATTTAGTCTTCTCCAAGTTGGATCCGTCTCAGAGGAGTCAGATCCACCAAAAGGGAGGGATTTGGTCTTCTCTAACTTGGATCCGCCGAAGAGATCGGAAAAGGGAGGATGGATTAGATCTGAGAGAAGAAGAGGAGGGGAGAAGATGAGAGGAAGTCTGGGAATTGGAAGAGGCGAAGAGGAGAGAAGTGATTAGAACGGTGGGGGGTGGGTTAGGTTAGATTTGGTAAGGGTTTGGAATGGAGGGGAATAATGGACTTTTAATGACAAATGGGAACTTTTTTTTGGGACGAAAAGAAAAACGAAAGGGAAACTTTTTTGCGGGACGGAGGGAGTAAGAAAGTTCGCTCAGATTCGAGCCTAACAAAAACAGAGGCAAGGTTGAAAAAAGTATAAACAAATACTACCCGTCCCATTTTAAATCGTCTGTTTTGACTTTTGGGCATGTTTAAGGAAGAGAAAAAATAGAGTTGATTTTCCGAAATTGCCATTAATTTTTAGGAGTGACGATAAATGAGAAGATAAGGTGGAGAAGAGTGACTTATTTTAGAGGTAGTTTAGGTATTTCTCTTAAAAGTTTTCGATAACAAGTAACAAGCAACTTATTTTGGGACGGAGAAAAAAGGCAAACAGACAATTTAAAATGAAACAAAGAGAGTACATTATAATCGAATCAATAACACTAAAAAAAACCAGTTTTCTCTCTTTAGACTTATCTTTCCCTCTAACCCGGGTATTCTGGAATCCGCCACTAATAATCAAAGAGGTTCTTCAAACTGCAACTCCATCCAAATGTTAAACATTTTGGCTCTTTTTTCTTCACTCTGCAAGTGTAGTTGCATTGAACCACTGAAATCTATATATCTCACAACAATCTAGAATTCATTGATCTAAAACTTGCACTTCAAAAAGTTTGCTTACAAAAGATAAATGATACTAAATAAATCTGCATCACACTCCAAACATCATAATGAGGGAGAGAACCATGGAACACAAGCTTTCTTTCATAATAACACAAAGGGGTTGTGGATTGCAGACTGCAGAGATATGCTAAGCCAAACTGCAGGCTTGGGTGCTATTTCGGTGTGGGCCGTAATCTCAGATTTCCAAAGGGACGCTCCTTTGGCCTACAAAAAATTGTTACGAGAACAAATTAATCCTCTTGAGTCCAAATCTTTACTGTCTTGTCCTTCGAAAGGGCACCAGAAGCAATCATGTTCTGCGTGGGGTGGCTTGCTACTGATATAACCGCATCACTGTGACCTTCCAGCTTTTGAACAATTTGTCTCGTCTGAAGCTCCCAAAAATATACGCAGTTATCTTCAGAACCGCTAACGACATATTTCCCATTTGTGATGGAAAATGTTGAAGATATGCAGTACTTTGAGTTTACATGCCCACTGTAGGTTTTCAAGAATTTACCTGTCGAGTAATTCCAAAGACGCTGCAACACAAGAAAAAAAATTGACCATTTAGAGGTATGTATTGATCCTGGGAAATGGTAGGGAAAAGAAAATAATGCTAGCAAAAGGTATTTTCTTACGTTTGGTTTATACTCTGTACATTTTAGGTGTCGTAGCCCTAATATGATAGAAATAAATAAATAAATAAAATGATTACAACAACAACAAAGTATAATCCCAATTCCGTCGGGGTCTTGGAGATCAAGATGTATGCAGTCAGCAGTCTTACCCATGTAAAACAATGAAACTGATTCCATTAGACCCTAGATGCATTGTTGCATTTCCTGCCCAAAGCTTCATAGAAAGTTATAAATGAGGGAAGCTTAATGTTCCATTTTGATTTAGTCTATTACGCGCCCAAAACTGAAACATTGTCAATAATGACTCTTTTAGATCCATTTTCCCCTCAAATTTTCTCATTCTAATTTTCTTCTCTACTTTTCTCCGTATTTTCTTTGCCTAAGGCTTCCAGACAGACCCTTTGTGTTTAGATGGAAATAGAGCTCTGACAGTCAGACATGACAAAAACAACTAAAACCTTGTCAGCAAAGAAAAAAGCTCAACTTGATCTAATGATTTTCTCTTTTAGTTTACTGCCTAATCCCATAGTTTTACCCTGATTTAGTATCATGCCAAGGAAGTTCCTAAGTATTGTCTTCCCTAGATTACAAACTTACCAGCTCTGCACATCATCACTTAAGAGACTCATAAATGGTTAGTTTGGATGAAGGGTTTTGATGGGCAAAGTGTATATCTTGATACATATATTTAAGATTTTTATAAAAACTAAAAGAATAACACAATTGATGGTCTAAACTAAGCACTCAAAAGACTTCAAGGAAATTATGTTTATAAAGTGATACTATAACCTAAGCACTCCAAAGTTTCCCCCTTCCAAAACCCTTTGAAAGCCTCAATTTTCTCTCTTTTAGCTTACTACTTAAGCCCATAGTTTTACCCCCATTTAGTATCGCCCAGTCACATGCCAGGGAAGATGTTCTAGAGTAAATTGTGTTCCCTATATTAAAAGCTTACCAGCTCTGCACATCATCACTTAAGAGCCTCATAGAGGTTAGTTTGGATGAAGGGTTTTGGTGGGCTAAGTCCATATCTTGATACATCTATTTGATATTTTAATAAAACCTGAAAGAATAACACAATTGATGGTCTTCACTAAGCACTCCAAACTCCAAAGTCTTTGAAGAAATTCTGTTTATAAAATGATACTATAACCTAAGCACTCCAAAGTCTCCCCCTCCAAAACCCTTTGAAAGCCTCATTCCAAAATGACCCAAAGGAAAATTTTCTGATATCCCGACTCCCGAGTCTCAAATGAATCTTGTATTCTATTACATTAATGGTTGGGTACTAGGTTTAACAGTATTCCACACACATGTATCACTAAGATAAATCAAAATATCTCATAAGTCATAACATAGCTAAATAATTTCTTGAAATAAAAAGGTTAGAGTATTAATCATTGCACATTTGCACTATAACACTAGTGGGGAATTGTAGACCAAAGACTAAATGAGAAAAAAAATCCTCTGACAGTAGCCATATGCCCATATCTTAAGTGGCATATGCCACAAGCTACAAGTTAGAGAATTTTATATAATGAAACCTAAGCAAAGTAAGCTTCCATAATCCATACTTAGAAAAGTTAGAAGAGTTTATTTTGATTTTTAGTCGAATCACATGCATAAATTTTGATTAAAATTTAACCCAGATAAAAATTCACAGTATGATCTACATAAATTAACATGAAAAATTGAGAGGCCGATGATATGAGCAAATGTTACTAGGAAAGATTAAATAAACAATGCTATGTTTCGCAACACTACGTCTTACTACTACCCTCTCCCACCCACACGAGTATGCAAAAATTAATAATCAATCTGCAATAATAGGAGAAAGATGAAGTTATTATCCATGAAAAGAAAAAAGTGAAACGGAAAGAGAAGAAAGGACTTACCAATGTATTATCCAAAGTTCCAACCAGAATAAATTTTCCATTTGGTGAGAACTTGACAAAACTGACAGGCGGGTTCTCATCATCAATCAATGTCTTTAAACAATGCCCAGTTGAAGCATCCCAAATCCTACACAACCCATCGTAGCTGCTCGATACAATCAATTTCCCATCCTGACTGAAATGCACTGCAGTTACCGGATCCGAGTGAGCCGGCAGCACCTTGAGGCACTTCCCACTCTTGACATCCCAAATCCTCACGGTCTCGTCGTAAGAGCCCGAGACGAGCATGTTTGACTGGGGGTTGTAGTTGACGCAGAATACGTAATTGGTATGACCCGTTAGGGTTTTGACAACGGAGCCGGTGGCGACATCCCAGAGACGGAGGGTCTTGTCGTCGGAGGCGGTGGCCAGGTACCAACCGTCAGAGGAGAAGGCGACGTCGGAGATGCCCTGGTCGTGGCCCTGTAACTCGTGGACGAGAGCGCCGTCGGAGACGGACCAGACGCGCGCAGTCTTATCGGCGGAGGAGGTGCCGAGAAAGCGGCCGTTGTCGGAGAATTTGACGCTGGAGATGGCGCATTTATGGCCGATTAGGGTTTGCTTGAGCTTATAGGGCTTGAATGGCTCCGCAGAATCCGCGTTCGATGCCATTCCGGCGGGAAGAGCTATCCGAGAAGCTGTGGTGATTGACTCTCCCGGCTTCCACTTATCAGTTCTCTCCCTCTGATTTGGACCATTCTTCGTTGTTTATCATCTCGCGCGAACTACGGACTAGGAAGTAGGAAGTCATTCATTCCTACACGAACGAACTTCGAGAATAATAAGGAGTCACTCCTCTTGTTGTTTGGATAAAAAAATTTTTAAGATTAAATTCCATAAAAGGTCTTCAGATATGCGTTATTGAGGAGAGAGAAAGGTATGCATATACAATTTTATCCATGTTCTTAACAAAAATGTTAACGAATGGAAAAATGATATAATAATTGGGAACTAAATTAATAATATTTAATATGTAGGGATTAATATGTAAAATGACATATAACTGGAGACCTTTTATGAAATTTACTCAAATTTTAATGATATAGATTCATGTTGAAAACGTTAACATTAAAAGTCACCGTCATCTTGAATAATCTCATATAGTGGCATTTTTTGTGTCTAAAAGTAAATTGGTCAAAATTACTAATAAATAATTTTTAATTTATAAATTAGTTGATGACATTTTTGTGCATACTTATAAGCTAACTTATAAACTCTTTATAACTCATAAAAATTAATTAGGTCTTACTTGCTTATTTTTATGTCAATTTTTTCATTTTTCTGTTTTGATCAAATTATTTATAAAACTATTTTTCATCATTTATTAATGTTCTCAAATAATTCTTCTGTCATTTAAGTCATTTTATCTCTATGAAAAAATAATTGGCTTATAAATAACTTATAAATTTGAAAACTGATCATAAGCAATAAACTAATAAGCACCAAGCCAGAGAAATATTCACATATTCTTCTAAAGAAGAAAAAGAGAAAAAGGAATTGAAAAATGTTGAAAACATCTAGAATAATGTTATGTTATGTACTTATGTACATAACATAATCAAATCATTTAAGAACGTTAGGTTGACATCTCCCACAAAATCATTTTAGAGTTGAGAAATATCAAATCTCATATCATATTCGTTCACCAAAAATGCCTTAAACGTTCCTAAATCAATGGTAGCAAGAAGTCAAGAACCCCTCCGGTGTTCCCTCCCCAAAGTCTAGTGCTACAATTAGAAGATGTATCCCAGAATAGAAAGAAAAACACCGTGAAAAAAAGAGAAGAGAATATCTGAATTTTTCATACCCAATTAGACCATGTTGGCTAGGATGCATATTATGTAGGCAGCCTATAAACTCTAGATTCCAGATTGTATCATTTACCTGTACAGCTGCAAATCTGATTTGCATTATCTATACGTATTTCACATATCACAAATTCTCTAAGGCTCTATTTGATACATGAAATTCAAAATATCAAATTGGAATTGGAGACAACAATTTTAATATCTACTGTTTGGTAGCACAAAAATATATGGATCGGGAACTGGTATTGCCAAAATTGAATTGGAATTGGGTAATTGAATTCCATCCAATTCAATTCCATAGAATTTCAACTCTTAATCCAATTCCAATTCCACCAATTCCGTGTACCAAACAGGCCCTAAGAACAGTTTAGCCCCTCTTTCTTTACAAATCTGCAAACAGCAAAGTTCTCACAGAGTTCAGAGCTACACAGCATAATAAGCATTGTACCGATGTCTCTTTCCTGCATGCAAAAAAGTAGAAACACAAGACATCAGCCCTAACTGTCACAAGTGAATCTATTGAACTGTACTTTTATGACTGTAATTCTTGAAAAGCACTCCAAATGCTGTTAAAATAAACAAGTGGAAAAAATCGCATCTTGTACAAGAATGACTCTTTTTAGAGAGAATAAAATAATTACCCATTTTTTTCATTTCGGAGCGTTCAAAATTAAATACTCATTTACCACATTTGGTAAACAAGTTTTTGGAAATTACGAAAATGAGCATATTAGCATGGTTGTCATTAGTGAAAAACAAATTAATTTTAGAGTCATTTCCTATTTTTCGATCATTGCTCGACTATGACTTTTGGAAAGTGGACAATCAAATTAAGTAAATAACACGAGGGTTCAAATGTTCAATCATACCTAATATTAGGCATCTGATGTTGCTGCTTAATGGTTGATCAAATGATTCATTAGACATACATACAGCTCTCACTTCATACACGAAATTGGCCTCTTGTTTCCATGAGTGTAGTGCATGTTGGAACACACTTTGTACGTTAAACTAAAGTCGTGTTCATTTCTGACAGGTTTTGATAATTGCCAAACTGCCGTGGATATGAAGAGTTTCGTTGAATAACTCAAGGCGTGAAGAATGGCTTGGAACAAGACCTAAAAGACTCAAGGACAAGATCAAGAATTGAAGACTCAGTCGAGTCGGTCTTTTGTGATCAAAACCGACAATTTATTCAAGTCTCGGTTCTCAAAAAGTCAAAACAATTTTTACAAACCATAAAACATTTTTTGTGCATCAAAACAAACATTTTTGATGATCTCTTTATTGTTAAAATCCTTGGTCCTTGCTCAGAACCAAAACCACCTAAGTCGGCGTTCGGCTTTCGGCCTTCGGCTTTCGTCGTTCGATTTTCGGCGTTCGGTTTTTGGCGCCCGAACCAACTCCGTGGTTTTCAATATTTTAAACCCTGTTTTTATCTCTGAGCATATTTTAAAGGTTCCCGAATAATTATTTTGTAAAAACCACTCTTGTATCTTGGTCAATCGGTCTAACACGTAAAAAACGGTCAAAACCGTACGCACGTGATTTACGACCTTGAGGACTTGGTTTTTACCTAACAAGTCTTGTTTTCACTATTTTATACCATATACAAT